GCAAAATTTCACTGCAAAAAATCGTACTAAGGAGCTTTTCACCCAGTTTTTGCAAAACATTTCTAGTATCATAATGGACGGACGGGTTTGACTTTTTATACTGCAATGCAAAGGAATACCGTTTTCGAGTGTTTCCGGACAAAAAAATTCCCAAAAAGTATTAGGCCATATGTAGTTGCGATCGGAAATCAAAAAGTTTCATCTCTACCGGCACTATCAACAAAGATGTGTACGAGAAATTATGTTTGCAAATGCGGTTGCTACCATTCATCAGCAGCCAAAAACAGCTTTATTTTGGCTTGATTTGGCCTCTTGTCACTATGCAAAATCCGTCGTGGAATGGTATAATGCACTACGTGCTAAAAACATCCAATCCGCCAAACTGACCAGAACTTTGCCCAATAGGAAGGTACTGGGCTCTGGTTTGGCAGAAACTATTCGAAATAAAGAGGAAAGCAAATGGCATCAATGATTTCAAGAGGAGATGGAGGCACGCCGCCACAAAGGTATCTGAGGATACTATACGCAACCTGATGGCGAGTATCCCACAAAAAGTTTGAGAATTTTACAGACAAAAGAATTAACATTCAAATAAGCTATGTATGCTATCGGTATAAGTATACTTTACTGAAATAAACAATCAGTTTTGTTATATTATGGGTAGATTTTTCCCCCCGACATTATCTTAGCGTCCGAAATTTAACGTGAACAGGCTTTATCTTTAGTAGCTGGACCACCCAATTTAATTTGAATTTGGAACAAATGAAGAGTTTAAACAAAATTTCATTGATAAAAAATCATGCTTCGGTCAAACATTTTTAAAATTGATTGCCAAACAAACTTCGAAATAATTAGCCCCCCTAGCCTCCTCCCCTTGTGATAAAGCGGTTAACTTTTCAAGGAGGTGGTCGAGAAAATGTGACAATATGTGAAATTTTGGTTTAAGGCCATACTTGTTGCCTAATTTTATGGTATTATTTTAAAACGTTAAAAAAAAACTACGAATTAGTAAAATCTCGATGTGTTTTTGAAATCTCGCTGTGAAGTATTGAAATATTTTTAAACAATTTTCTCCAGAATGGACAAAAAGTATGGTTTAAAACTCGGGACACACTGGATTAATACGTAATCGTAGGGGAAATGGGCCCATATAAAAATTTAGCAATCGATTAAATTTTCAATAGCGACCAAAAATATCCATTAGTGCCGTCCCAATGACGCGTTCCTCTAGATAAAATTGATAAATAGCAGATTTTTAGCTATGGGCCCAATTTTAGACCCATAGGTCAACATTAGAGCCATTTCCCTTATTCTGTTTGCTCGGTACATTGATCGGACGCAAAGGAACTTGCGTGTTCATCCGAAAAAATTCTAGTCGTTTGTTCGTACTAAACGTAAGGAAGATGTATTAACTACATCCATGTTCTTTGATGAGCGTTTTGCTAGTTCAGCGTCTGGTTAATGTGATCACTTCAAGAATGCTTTCTCGAATACATTGACCACGGAAACGCAGGTCGACGCTGTCCTCAGTAATACTCCGTCACACAGCTTTGAACTTGGAATTTTTCAAATCACCGGGGAGCACGTCCAAAATGCTCTACGTTAGTTAAAAACAGTCTGTATCACCTGGTCCTGATGGGGTTCTTTCAACCGCACGGAAAAAATGTTCAAGTGCTCTGCTGAAACCATTAGTAAAACTATTTAACCTACCGTTTCAAAGGAAAACATTTCCTGCTGGATGGAAAACTTCATTCCTGTCTCCGATTCACAAAAAGGGGGACAAATGTAATGTTGCCAACTACCGGAGAATTACTTCGTCGAGTGCCTGCTCTAACCTTTTGAGATTATCGTTAAATATATTCTCTTTGAGGTTAGCAAGAACTACATATCCTGTTCTCAGCATGGATTCTTCCCGAAACGATCCGTCACTACAAATTTCACACAGTTTAATTCACTCTGCATACGCTCGATGGACGCTGGTACACAAGAAGATGCCGTGTACATAGATTTCAAAGCTGCATTCGACCGAGTGAACCATTCTATCCTACTTGGAAAGCTTGAGAAACTTGGACTTTCCTCCGACCTAGTAAACTGGTTTAGATCGTACCTGACTGGAAGGTCTGTGAAAGTAAGGATCGGCTCTTCATATTCAGATGAATTTTTCATTACTTCCGGCGTACCGCAAGGAAGTAATCTAGGCCCGCTTCTCTTCTCGTTATTCATAAATGATGTTTTATTTGTTCTGCCACGCGGACAGCGAATATTGTATGCAGATGACGTTAAGATATTTATGGTAATCACTTGTATTGAAGACTACTTGACGATCTCATTTAGTAGAAAGCGTCAATCGTTATATTTCAACTACAAGCTATCTGGGCAAACTCTCGAACGCATGGATCAGGTGAGGGATTTTGGTGTGATATTGAACCGTGAACTCACTTTCCGACCGCATTGTGAAGATGTGTTAGCAAAAACTAACAAGCAGCTCGGGTTCATTTTTAAGCTTGCTGATGGATTTCGCGATCCTCTCTGCCTAAAGTCCCTCTACTGTGCCCTAGTACGCTCTATTTTGGAATCTACCGTATTAGTATGGTGTCTATACAATAGAAACTAGATCGATCGCTTCGAGGCTGTACAGAAAAAGTTTGTGCGCTTAGCTCTCCGACACTTACCCTGGCACGAAGCACTGAATCTACCTCCATATGAACAGCGCTGTATGCTGCTGGGAATTGATACCCTGGAACAAAGAAGATCGACTATGCAAGCTGTATTCGTGGCTAAGGTGTTGACCAACGATATTGACGTCCCAGATATTCTCGCTGAATTGAATATATATGTTCCAGAACGACATTTGAGACAACGCAATTTCTTGCATTTAGATAACCGTCACACTCGTTATGGACAACATGATCCAATCAGATTCATGACACTTCAGTTTAACGAAATCGCCAGCAGATTTGACTTCAATAGTTCTGCCACCACTCTGCAACGCCAACTTAATAATAATCAACGATATTGAATCGAACAATAATGCAATTCGTGAGTATCTGTCCAATCATTAACTAGGAAATGTTGTTTTTTGTTTCATGATTCGCCATAATCTACACGACATTGGTTCCTGCCATCTGACCTGTTTGCAGTTGCCAACTAAAAATTGTTTTATTGATTGATTCACTTTAAGAACTTATCTATTTTGATTATATGTTTTTAGTATTACTTCTACGTGAAGTCAACGATTTACATAGTTGAAGATGCTAATTTCAAATAACAGACTGTAGTGGTAATTTTTATACGATAGATGGAGTAGATGAAAGCATAGAGTTGATAGTTCCGTTAGAGTACAGCAGTGTGAAGATTGCATATAGATATTAGACAAGCGAGCTAGGACAACTTTTAAGGAAGGTACAAATCGGTTTTTTCATCTCTCTTTACCAAACTCCCCCTTTGGAGAGGGATGGTGAGGGGTGTCCCCCCCCCCCCCGCCACCACTGGCAAAAAGAGATGAAAACCGACCCGCTCATGTACCAACTGTGTGTTTGAAACAGTTCTACCGATTGTTTACCGCACTTCAGTTGTTATTTGAAGGAAGGCATCCAGTCGTAGGTTTGGAAATTGCAACTATTGTTTACCCCTACCACGATATGTGCTCCTGTCATCGTCGACTTGACGATCTCGAGGGGACACGGGTGGGGTAGGTGCTGCTACTGTACCTTTCGACCATTGACAGTAATTGATGGTATGCTCCCATCCAGAGTTATGTACTTTGACTATATGTTTTTAGTATTACTTCTACGTGAAGTCAACGATTTACATAGTTGAAGATGCTAATTTCAAATAACAGACTGTACAATCTTCACACTGCCGTACTCTAACGGAACTATCAACTCTATGCTTTCATCTACTCCATCTATCGTATAAAAATTACCACTACAGTCTGTTATTTGAAACTTATCTATGTTTTATTTATAATCTGTATACCATTAATGCCTTGTGAAAAACGTTAATGTGTACTGTTTTGTGAAAATATTTGGGGTTTTTACGCCTTTTTGAGTCAAATGTGCTATCTCAAAAAGGTTTTTCTCCATCCCATATTTCAGTTAGACTTGATGTCAGATGGAATTACATAGAATAAATAAATAAATAAATAATCTCTCAGCACATTTAACTCAAAATTTTATCATAAAAGATGCAACACAAAGCTCTGTCATGTGTATTTTGCGTCGAAAAATATAGGCAGTTCTGAGTTTGTTAATAGTTTATAGCTAAAAAAAAGTGTTTCGAATAATTCGGTTTTTGCATTTTTTATATTAAACCCTATCGCATGCTGAAATGCATCATTCAATGTTGAACCTGGACGCGTATTCAACAAAGGTTCACTTCGTACTTGAAAAGATCTTCTGACATAAGATTAATAAAAAGGATTTATTGATGCTTCATCCCCACATTCTGCCAAAGCGACAATCTGAAGTCCCCGCAGGAAAAGATAAGTTTCATGTTTCTGACAAAATATACTCAATCAATTCTACTCGAACCGATTGCTGCCACCATGAAACGTGCAATCGAAGGCTACACTCTACACATCAAGATTTATAATAAAAAAAAAAGTTGATCGATATAACCGGCGATGGTGGCGCTGAGCTGCTTCAGCAATCGACGACGGCCCGCAACTTCAAACAAAATCTCGTTTTACCACGCGACGACGACGACGGCGGCGTCGGCTGTGTTTATGCTCCGGATTTACTGTTGTAGGCATATAGTATACAAACACACCGCGTCACCTGCCCAAAGGTCTCCTCTCCCCAGCCGAGGTTTGATTGACCCATTCGAGATCGATCTCGGTTGGATCGTATATTTGCTTCTTATTTTTTTTTGCTACACCAATCTCATAGCCTAAAGATCACTCCATTTTCTCGCTCCATTGATTGGACCCACTCTCTTTTGAAACAGGAAAAATAATAAGAAGGAAAATGGCACTAATAATATCAACACACAACACCTACGGCTCCTGCCTGAGGAGGTACGATGACGACGCGACGTCGAGATCGGACACCGCTCACCTTCATCAATATTTACGCGATTTTTATTTTATAATTTGATTAAATTGGATCTCTTAGCAGACGCACTCACAGCCACGAGGGAGATCGATTTTTTGCACTTTTCTTCTCGTCGTTTGCTTCTTCTTCCACCCCAGGGCAGCGGGAGGGGCCGTTTTAGGGACTTGATACATATACTTTTGTTTTCGGCTCGCACTTCTGGGGCCCCGACCGAACACTTAGCTTCGCGACACCAGACACACTTAGGCCACAGTGATCAATGAATCGATACTCGCCGATATCGGTGATCTTGGACGAGTGTATCGCGTTGACGACCTAGTACTACTACTGTTGTTACGGGAGTGGCGGGGAACCTCTCGGCATCACTTTAAATTAATGGGAGCTAATTTTTCGAAATTGCTTTTTCATTGGCTCCGGGCGGATTTCAGCCCCCTCCTCCCAGACGCCGATATGGGTGTGTTACTCTCGGCGATCAAATCACTCACCACTGACACCGCGGCGGTGGCGGCAGCAGGCTTCTGCTGATCTAGAGCTATTTGAATACTTGTTTACTATGTTTACAAACACTTTCAATTTTTCATTCAATACTCCCGGAGCAATTTGCTGTTGATGTACGCACTTTGATTTCCCTTTCGCCCCCCTTTTTTTTCCAACCGACAGGTTCTGGGCTGGTTCACTTAATTACGGAGCTTTCCTCGCCGGTGGAACGCGTGCCGTCATCGATATATATGGTGACGTTGATAACGCGAGCGGTACAGGCTTATCTTGTTTTTCCTGATCAAGTACAACACTGCACAAATCACACGATAAGATCTAGAGTGGGTTCAACTTTCACCAGATTGCGCGGAATCGATTAACACATTCTGAAATTCCGATTGTCCATAGTTCGATGCTAATCGTAGAACCAACCAAATATCAAAAACCCGAACACGACTAGTTTCTCATAAGTTAGAGCTTTAACGTGTCCCTTTGACCGGACATAGGGCTGGGGACCTCACCGAGCAGAGATTGAAGAATTCACGCGCGCGAACTCAGTGCCCTCTGTGAGCAAACTGGCAATCAACTGGCAGGTTGGTACTAGCAGACCGACGACGACGACTACGACGACGACGGCGGCGACACAGACTGAGACTGCGATTTTTGTGTTGTTGCGATTGAAATGAATTATCGAATTCAGTCCGGTGCCAGTTCGGGCCCTGCCTGCCTGCCTCCCAGTCTGCCCGGTCTCGGTCGTCCACAGTCGGTCGACTCGGGTCTTGGGCTGTCAGCTGGGATCCACTGCTAGTGAACCACCATCACCACCCGACCGTTGTTGAGACGAAAAGCTGTGAGTTTATGTTGTCGGTGTTTTCATTTTTCGCAATAGAGTCAGCCGGTAGGTCTAGTCTCTAGCCTTTGCGAAAATCTCAGCTGAGAGGGAAAGAGAAAGGAGCATTGCGGGGTGGAAAAAGTTGTTTATTTTTCCCATTCTTTTCCCATGCTGTGCCGTGCGTTTTCTCGGTTGTTGAGTTGGGGCGCCTCCCGGCTGGCTGCCGAAGAGCCAAGAGAACCAGACTTGGAGGGGAAAATGTGGAGCAATTTCCGCTCGCTCTCACTGCGCAGACGAGAGGCAGACCATGTGGTGGCGGACTTGCATGTCGAACGCTAAACAGGTTCATTTTGCTGCGCTGCTGATCTGCTATATGTCCAGCAGATGGGTAAGATGTCATCAAAGATAAGGGAATCATTTCGCAATTCATTTCGTTTTACGTCGATTGAATATTACTATGTTGCTTAGGTCATGACGAAGTTGGGTAAATCAATATCCGAGTGATAAAGGTTGATGGCGTTGATTGATAAAGTTATAATGGAACTATTTGTTTTTAGAATAGGTCGGGTATATTCATCATCATCACATGATAGCAGCTGAAATTATAAACAATAATTTTCAAATCTTATGAGGAGAAGGAATAAGGATATAGTAGGGCATCTTGCTATCTTAAATGACTGTATCCTTGTTAAATGTTTCAAGCTGCACTTTGAATATTTCTCATTCATTCTGGGCTATAATTCATTTTGATGAATAAAATTGGACTAGATTGATATCATGACTGATATCCATAGACCTCGTCTGGCCCACGGGCCGCACGCTAGGATGCGCTGTAGTAGAAGCTCACCTCACCAAGCATCTGTTCAGCAAGGAAGTATACTTCAAATAGCGTTACCCGAGCAGGAGAAAATAACTAATGAATACCTCATTCTGATCTGATACCAAAATTTGGTATTGACCAGCATGACATAAGAGGTAAAATACCAAAGAATAACACCAAAAAATTACATGGAAAATACTTTGTAAATACCAAAAATTGATATTTGGACACCAAAAGAATACCTGGGTGGTATTGTTTTGGTATTGCATTATCATAATTTGTTATTGGAATGGTATTGTGGGAGCATTTTTTTGGTATTTTACCTTTTATGTCAGGCTCATCCATACCAATTTAAGGTATCGAGATATTCGTTCCTGCTCGGGTAGACCAAGCCATTTTATGAGAACACTTGATTGTGGTCACTATAACCGGTATCCGGAACATCCGAGGAAGGAATATTAGCAAAATATCAAAATATTCGAAGAATCGTTTCATACGCTCAATATGACTTATTTTGATGTGTCGCATGACAATTCTTATCAAACAGTTTAATTTTTCCCCTGGAACCGGTATCCGGAACATTTGGACTAGGTCACTGGCCACGAGTAACCACAATATTGGCAAAATAGTCTAAGAATCGTTTCAAATGCAGCAGTTTTATGTGATTCGGTGTGTCACATGGCCATTCTTATGAAAAAGATGAATGTGGCCTCTGGAACCAATATCCGGAACGAGTGTACCCCATTAGGCATAAATACGTTAGGCATACGGACGTTAGGCATAATGGACGTTAGGCATCAAGTCATTAGGCATAATGGACGTTAGGCATAATGGACGTTAGGCATAAAATACCTTGCTGCTGTGCAACTCTAGGAACCTGCTTAACCTGTAAACCTGTAAACAATGCTTAAATTAGGCTTAGCGTTGAATAAAAAATGATACAAGTTAAACAAACATAGTTTATTTAATAAGCACAGTTTGGAATCCATTATTTATCATATCATAAGTGACGTATCTACATATTTACTTAGATCCATGATTAGTAGCGATAGTGGTAAAGTAATCTTACAATGAAAACTCAGCTTTGTTTTGAACTATATCTTGAAATCAATCGCATCTAGAAATAAAAAAATCACACATTTGTTGTAATATATTCTTACGCACATATTGCAAAAGTCAAAGAAGAAAAGATTTTCCTCAAAGAACAGCTCATGAAATAAAGAATGGTGAATTCTGTGATTTTTCATTCAATAACAAAAAAAAACAGCCAAAGTTGAATAAAATATGATGCCAAAGAACAGCTCATGAAATCAAGAATGGTTAATTCTGTGGTTTTTCATTCAATAACAAAAAAACATACCTGCTGCTTCCAGGATTTCCTGCCAAACTTTTCGATACAACGATTCTGATTTTGTTGTCATCAGAATGAAAACTAGCGGAACCGTCTGCTGATGTGAGGGATTGATACTTCCATGAACAGTGACGAGTTGCCGAAACAAACAAGGAACTGTGGCAAACGTACCATCTGTAACCCAATACTTTGCCTGTCCAACACGTCGTTCATGAGTTCCAAAAATTAAGGCTCTTTCATTATTGTCACCGAAGTCAGCAATCAATAGACGGTCTCCATTATCATCCTTCTGGAATTCATCGGGTAGATTATGCCTAACGTCCATTATGCCTAACGTCCTTTTTGCCCAACGTCCATTATGCCTATCGTACATTATGCCTAACGTCCGTATGCCTAACGTACGTATGCCTAACGTCCGTATGCCTAACGACCGTATGCCTAACGTCGTGCACCTATCCGGAACATCAGGCCATCGGAACACTGGCCACGAGTAACCAGAATATTTTCGAATAATGATTTCATACGCATCAATGTGTTTTGATGTGTCGCGGTCACCATATTCGATGCATTTTCTGTGATAATCGACTTCCTTTGCTTCCGACAATTGCAAAATAAGCTATCAAATTACAATTATACGACACTGTCGCCAGAAACCGTCACAAATGTACGTATTTTAGTTGTTCTCATAATAAGACCTGCTGATGTTGTGCTTGTGTGAATTTTGAAAATAGCAAGCAACGGTGTCCTAGCAATAACACCAAATTAAGGAATTAGAACGAAATCACACATCCCAAGTAACAATTCAGCAACCATTTAGCATCCACTCTGATTTATGATGGTTTTATAACGGCAATGAACAATACATTTAGTTTAAATATAGCATTTCAAAGTGTAAAACATTCCTGCTTAGTAATTCAGCTTTTTGCTGTTTTAAAAACCTTTTATAGTCTGACAAGAAAGCCAAAAACTGTCTTGTTTTAAAAATAAATTTAAAACAGTTATCAATCCCTCCTTAAAACTGTTCTGTAATTCAAGCATAAACGTCTTTAGCAACTGTTTATTAATGTCATGATAAAATACTTTATAAACGTGTTCTATCATTATAAAAGCAACCATAAAACCATTAGGTTTTGCAATCGCGTTAGCGTTAGCGTTAGCGTTGTTATGATATACTTCGTAGATTGGATACTAGCGACACTCACGTCTCTTCTGAAATTCTCAGTAAGACTACTTTCAGGAATAATGCTGGGGAGTAAACATTGGTTCCAATCAAAACAAGAGTAACAGAAGCATTAGGTTTTGCAATAGAGCAAAAAGCATTTATTGTTGATTTTAGGCTTTTTAAATTGCATCATTAACTTCCCAATTACTCTGTTTACAAATTGAGCTTAAAAGATGGTTCCTCATAGTTAATAAATGCCAAATTTATGACAAGGAAATCTCGAACGATAGACGAAGTAGGATGAAAAAATCAAGTCAATTTCAGATAAATTTACTCCTTAGAAGAACCAGCAAACCACCAACGACTGACCATTAGGGTGCTTCATTCTGAAAAAAAGTGATGAATTTCTGATGGGCCACCCTCCAGTTCGATTCATAGCCCCAAAATATGAACCTGTGCAAAAATTGGTAAAGATTGATGAAGGTTTAGAGGTCGCGCCAATGATTTGAAATTTGTATGGGAATTACTATGGAAGAATTTAAAAAATCGCTTATATCGCTATAACTTTGCTTCTACTTGTCCAAATGTCGAAAAAATTTAGTATGTTATTGCTATGGCAATAAACAAAAAGCCTACAGTTGCTACGCTCAGTTTTGCAGCGTATCAAGAATTATAAAAATGTGAAAAAATGGCAAAATAGGGTAAATTGACAGATGCATATGTACAAGGCAACAACGCCAATTTCATCGCAACAACAACAGGCTTGTTGATCATTGTCATGACAACCACATATTTTTTTTTTTCAACGTTTGGACAACTACAACCAAAGTTAGAGCAATGTAAACGAAAATCAATAATTTCCCATACTAATTCACCAAAATCTCCATACAAAATCCAAATCATTGGCGCGACCTCTAAACCTTCATCAATCTTTACCATTTTTTGCACAGGTTCATATTTTGGGGCTATGAATCGAACTGGAGGGTGGCCTATCAAAAATTCATCACTTTTTTCAAAATGAAACACCCTACTGACCATCTGTCGGAGAAGAGTAAAGTGAGCGGGGCCCTCGAACTCATAAAACATTGTCGAAAGTTGAAAAACATACCAGACTTCTCCAGATCTTGCGATGACAATCAGAATAACAACCGACAGCAAACCACTGAAACTGTCAGTTAGCGGAGATTAGCTAGTTTCCGATCCAAAGCAGCGATTTTATTCGGCGAAAGAATCAACTATTTGAAAATTTCATTCAAGCGTACATCCCTGCATCATTGGATGGTGCACTTCTGTAACCATCCGGAGAAGGGGATCTTTTTCGGGAACGTTTGCGCTTCCAACTGTTCGAAATGCGAAATGTTGTAAAACAGTATCGCAAACTATCTGTTCACAATTCATCGGGAGAAAACCGCCTGGAAGATGGATCCCACAGCGCAACTATCGAAAGATAAACAAACTTTGACGT